TCTTCGTTTCCGCTACGTTTGTCTCTGTTACCTCTGCTCCTGTTATCCGTGTTTCTGCTTCCTTTTATTCTATTTCTTTGTTTCTGTTTTCTCTTTTACTGTTAGAATTCAATTACAGATCGATTGAAAAAGGGAGAGGAGCTCCCCAAAGGTGTGGCCAAAGAAATGACAACAAGGCGTTTGTTGTTTGACGAGTGCAAACTAAGAAAAAGCCAATAAAGTGAGTCTATAAACAAGAAAACAGAGAAGCACCGCAACGAGAGAAAACAAGAAGACAAACGACAACAATAAGAATACCATCAACAGCATAAATAACAAGGAAAACAGCAGAAACAAGAGCACTTACAAGATAAGCACAAACAACAAGAACACCAACAACACAGCAGCAGTAAGCAATAAGCACTATCAGGCTACTAAGACAAAAACTAAGACTAAAAAAGCCCCTAAAAGCACAAACAAGTACACAAAAAGCCTCGCCCTCCAGCCAATTTCTTCATTATGTGTAATTCTTCACGCAAGGAATATCCCAAGGGCCGCTGATTTCGCTGCAAGCGACAGGAAGCAAAACAGAAAAAAACAACTGCAGCAGTGAGGTGTACAGACACAACAACAAACACAATCGTCAACTGCAACAACAATTCAACAACAAAACAACAAAACAATCACTCCATTGGCCGTCCGGAAATCAGCAATGTGAAAGCAGCAGCCAAAAGCAAATGCACACAAGAACCCATAGATTTGTGATTTTTTTCCTTTCCTACTTTTTGTATTTTTGAGACCTTATTAGCCAATAGGGCCCCACAAAGGTAATGAAGAACATCCTGCAAATGCCACCCGTCAAGAAGAAACAAGTACACCCTAAACCCTAGAAACAGTTGCAGAGGCGAGAAGCATCTGCGGTGAAAGAGGTGTAAATAGAAAGGAATGAAGAAAGGAAGAGACATGTGCTGCTTACAACAAAAGATACAGCAGCACGTTGCTGCCAGACCCCTCGAGATACACCAAAGCAGACGTCAGCAAAATGAGCAACGGAGTCACCACGTACGTGCACGCCCACGAATTCCACAGCTGCAGCAACAGCAGCAAGATCGCAGCAGCAACAGAAAGCGAAAAGCTCTGCATGAGGCACCCGAATACTCGCGGGCCTTGCGGCAGAGATGCTTGAGGTGTATCGACACATAGAAAAACGAAGAGGGTCTGGGCTAAAAAACGCCAAAAGCCCACCAACAAATAACGACGAGCCATTGGCGCAAGTGCAAAAACCCTGAGAAACAATCAACGTCAGACAAACACAAACAACAAACAAAGGATGTGGAAGAGAAAGAAATGCAACGCCAGAAAAGAGCACAGTATGTACAAAATATATGGTAACAAGATATAACATATATGTACAGGCATATATATGTATATACATATATACATATATGTATGTATACATATTACAACACACAATATATATATATATATATACTGTAACAACACACATGCATGCATGCTTATATATATATATATATATATATACATATATATATATATATATGACACAGATATATACATAAAGCTGTCGACGTCACGAAGACAGTATGGGCTACTGAACAGCGTCGAGACGATACTTTCGAGTTGATGAGTAAAAGTAGCACAATCTGCCAACGAGGCGAAGACCCTTTGCCTCGTTGCAGGCGGTTCAGGTGTCTGTACTACGCTGCATGCATGAACGCATGCATGCACAGGTTGGGGAAGAAACTGTCTTGCATGCGCTGTGCATTGCGAGAGAACAGCTCACTCAATGCCGAAGAAGAGGAAAGCAAACACTTCTGTTGATGTGCTAAGACGCGACGCCAACAAAACATTTGCAAACAGCGCCACATTTAAACTCATCAGCCGCCCCAAGGGCTCGTCGATCTTCTCGGGGTTCCTGAATGCGTATAAAATATACACAATGACTACTAACACACCAGATGCACGTCCCTATATGCATGCAAATGCATGCATGCATGCATATGCAGCCATATGGGGAGTAAAGGAGTACCTGTAGACGTAGGAATAGTCATTGAGGGGGATGTGAATCAACAGACAAACTGCAGCAAACCGCAGCACAAAACAAGAATACACATTATATGCATGCTTACATATATCTGTACACAAGCGTATAGTACATACATAGATTAACTTTGCATATATATATATATATATGTATATATATATATATATAAATTCAGAGATGCTTCCCTTTTTTGTCTTTAGCTACTCACTCGATGTTAAACTAATTACGGTGTCGTCGCTGAACGACTGCGTTAGCGTCTGCAGCACTGGTGCGAGAATCTGCAGCAACAAACGAAGCAAACGAAATCCAAACCCTAAACCCTAAACCCTAAACCCTAGATTCCGCCCCACGGTATGCATGCACAACGATATGAGTGAGAGGCAGCAGGCGGCCACGGAGCTCCTCCTCATTAAAAACAAATCACAAGAGACAACTTTACTCTGTCTTCCTTTACAAATCACAACAAATCAACAATAATCGGCAGCAGCATGTAGAATGCCCCGCGCAAAAGAAACGAAAGCACGACGGAGCAGCAACAGGTAAAAGACGCATTCTCTCAACAAAAAGAAAAGGCCAGCCATCACATAACATACAATAGAAAAGACAGAGACAGACAAACGAACAGACAGAGGCAAGCTGAGACAGGCAGACATAAACAGAGTACGGCTGTCGTACAGCTACTGTGCATTTCCTATTTAATAAAAAACAAGCAACTCCGCACGCTGCCAGTTCATTGATGCGAGGCCTGCATGTACGCGTAAACATATATATATATATATATATATAGGGATGTACACAGATATAAACACATATATAAGCATACCTAAATATGTATATATAAAGATGCACGTACTGAGAGCAGCAGCTTACCCTCAAAACGCCGAAGACAATTATGGCGCTCTGCAGGACCTGGCGAGCAGCTGCAGCAGAAGCAATTGCGCATGCAGACAGCGGAAACCTCCTTAAAATAGGAAGCAAAACGAAGAAAGAACTAAGCAGATAAATATACATAGCAACAGCAAACGAAGAGAGAAGCAATCAAATGAATAATATCCACGGCCCTAGGGGAAGTGAAGAAGAGAAGGAAAACAAAAGTGAGGAGAAGCCAGACGAGCATTTCGTTGAATTATCTGCGGTGTATATACACCTCGAGGAGCCGGTTTCAATGACCAGCGGAGGGCGTAGCCAAGGGGCAATGAGACGACGTCGAATACGACTAAAGTGGAGGCGGCGATTGTTTTTTTAACTATCATTTTGTAAATTAGTGAAAAAATTAAAATACAAGACAAATGTTGAGTAAGAACAACCGTCGACTTGCACAGATCGGAGTACATATATCGCGTCAGGTTAGCGTTTCTCATCAATGCATTCAAGAAAGTTTCGTCTACGTAACAGTCTGGATGCGGCTGTTTCTTCCATAGAATCTTCTGCCATTTGCCAGCGCTAGCGCTTGAAGAAGAAACTCCTTTATTCAGGGACGGTGAATTGTGCGCACAGCAGCTGCTGCTGCCGCTGCTGTTGCAACTGCAGCAGCTGCTGCGACAACAGCGGATGCTGTTGCTGCGGCAGCAGCGAATGCTGTTGCTGTTGCTAATGCCTGCGCTTGCTCTCTTCCCCTCTATCGAATCAGCAACAGCTCCTCCAGCAGCAGCAGTAGAGCTGCGGCAGCAAAGCTCGCGTGGTCTGTTGCGGCGCCGCTCTGCACAGCAGCAGCAACGGCGGCAGCAGACGCGCATGCAACCAATCCCTCGTTCGCTGCTGCCATCACAGCTGCTGTTTGTTAGATTTTGTGCTGCAGCTTGTTGAGATATGATTAACTCAGCAGGCCCTGAGGGAGCGGCATGGGAGGGGGTTAAAATACGTCTGTCTTTGTTGTTTGCCTCTATTTCTGCAGCACTGTCTGCTTCCTGCTGCAGCTTCTGCTTCAGCAGCAGCATCTCCTCTCCTTTTGCTGCTGAGGAATCCCGATGCGAGGAACAGCCAGAGGAAGGCGAATGCCCTGCTTCGCTGTCTGCTGCAGTTGCTGCGCATTTTTTATATGCTGACGACAAGCCGACCTCTTCAGAGACAGAGGCGGAGTTGAGAGAAGGAGAAAACATTGCATAAAACGAAGAGGCAAACTGCAACACGGAGGCAACCCATGACGCCCTGCTGCTGCTGCAGCGGCTGCTGCTGCAGCTGCTGCTGCAGCTGCTAAGAACGAAAAAACTAAAGGAGAGAAACGTGCAAGACGGAAAGGCACATTATTATTATTATTATTACTATTATTATATTTCCTCCAAGTAAGCCCCAGCCGCATGCAAATCTGCTGCAGCAACGCGGTCATCACCATCGCTTGTCGTCGTATGCCTGGGGGCCCCCAGCAGGTAGCTGTACCTGTTGCTGCTGCTGCTGCTGTTGCTGCTGCTGCATCTGTTCTAATTATCAGCCATTTCTGCTAACTCTGCTTCTTTATGCTGCAGCAACAAATAATAATTGCTGCTTTCTGCATCAATTAGGGAAGAAGAAGTTAAGAAAATGCATAGGCAATCGCACAGCCCGTACAACAAGCCACACAGACGAAGACGCAAATCATATGAAAATATAATTGAATGAAGCAGAAGAAAGACAAATTTGCTTTGCTTCTGCTTTGCTGTTGCTGTTGCTGCTGCTGTTGCTGCTGCTGCTACCGGCGCTGCTGCTTCTGCTGCTGCGGTATGTACGAAGCAAAAGTTAATATGTGAGATGGGCGAGCAGCAGCAGCAGAGTATATGGGTTTGTCTTTTATTGTGTAATGCCTGTTTTCAATACATTCATTTTAATGCATTTAAAAGATGTAAACAACAGCAAAAATAAGTAAGCAAAGACAAGAAGATGTTCTGCTGCCCTGCTGCTGTGCGTGCGCTGTATGTACAGTTCTCCCGTCTGTCTCTGTAGTAGGCGGCAATGTAAGTGTTTCTATAGTTTGTTCTTCTTTAACGCAGGCCTAGCTTTAACTCTTCCGCTTTGCTTCTTGCTTATCTCGAGTGTACGTACACATAACTCGCAACACCCCATCGGTGGTAGCCGCTGCAGGCTGCAGCAGACTGCGCATTAAGGCAACGGTTTGTCTGCTACCTCTGCTGCTGAGTTTGCGGCTGCGTTTGCTGCTGCTGCTGCATGTCTGTCTGTTTTCTTCCCCGTCATAATATAATGGGGGCGCAGCACCGCAAGTGCCGCCGTGTTGCAACTGTTATAGCAGCGACAGAGACAAGCAGCAGCAGCAGCAGCAGCAAAACAAGTAGCAGCTGTAGCAGCAGCAGCAGCAGAGGATAGGTGCTGCGGGATCAGCAATTAACCAACAAACGAAGCTGCACCGCCCAATGGCTGGGCTGGGGCCAATTGATAAATTGTAGTGGTGGTAGCAGCAGCAGCAGCAGCTGCAGCACTACTCGCTGCAACCGCTGCAGCAGCAGCAGCTGTAATGCACCACTGCAGCGCTGGACACTGCGTTAATTCGCAGCACCAACAGCAGCAACACCGCCAAGGCGGAAGGACTCCTCAGTGCCTCGCCTTTTATCCCGTTGTATGTATGGAGGGCGTTTCAGCAGCTTCTGCTGTTGCTGCTGCTGCTGCTGCTGCAGCAGAATCCAAATGGCTTTATCCCCATTCCCTCTGAGGGCTTCTAGGGGGCCTGCGGGGGCCCCTCTTTTGCTGCTGTTCGTTTAGAACGCTGCGTCGCATGCAGTTGTAATTGCGAGAAGAATCATAAGTAGGCCTGCTGCTAAATTCAAGGAAAATTCGCTCACCCACCGCTGCAGCAGCAAACCCCCAACCACCCCAAAAGCAGTCACCAACGCGTGGCCCATACAACTGCCTGCGGCAACACACACACAGCAGCAGCAGCAGCAACAGCCGCAGCAACAGTAGCAGCAGCAACAGCAGCAGCAACGACAGCACAAGATATTTCGTGTATTTTTTGTGGCGCGGGCCTGATGCATTTAGTACGATTACCAACCTGCTGGTGCTGCTGCTGCTGCTGCTGTTGCTGCTGTTGCTGACGCTGCTGCTCCTGTTGCTGCTGTTGCAGCTACTACTACTGCTGCTGCGGCTGCGCCTGTTGCTGTGTTGCTGCACCTACGACTACTACAGTGGCATCTGCTGTTGCATTTGTTGCTGCTGCTGCTGCTATTGTTGCTGGTGCTGTTGCTCTTGTTGTTGTTGCTGCTGCTGCTGCTGTTGTTGCTGCTGTGATTGCTAAGGCTCACCAACGAATACCCCCCAAGCATTTTGTGCTGCAGCAAGGGAGACAGTTGTGAACATCGATTTGTCGCCCCACTCCGCAAACAAAATCAGCAAAAAAACCTCTCGGCAAACTCGCCAAGACTCGGGCGCCAAACCCAAACGCGTGTACTGAGCAGCAGCAGCACCAGCAACACCAGCAGTAGTAGCAGTAGCAGCAAGAGCAGCAGCAGCGGTAGCAGCAGCAGCAGCAGCAAAAGAAGCAGTATAGAAGGAGGTGAAGCAACATTCAGAACGACGAACCTCAAGCCCATCCCACCCACGGCCTATAACAGCAGCAGCAGCACGGCAAAAAGCATCAGCAGCAGCAGCATCACAAAGAGCAGCAGCAGCAGCAGCAGCAGCAGCAGCAGCAGCCTCTCGATGTTGGCGTATATGACTTACACAGATTCTATCTGCATCTTCTTGAGCTTCTTCCAACTCCTCACAGCAAATGTTTTCACCGTCTCTGCATGCATCAGTTTCTGCAGGAGACAGCCGAGTAGAGACAGAGGCGTCGTCAGGCCCCGTCAAACTCTTATGCATATTCAGATTAAAAGCAGACGCCTCGCTGCTGTTGCTGCTGCTGTTGCTCCTGCTGCTGCTGAAGCTGTCTGTGCGCTTGTCTGCTGCAACCAACCCAAAGCTGTCTGCAGCAACCGCAGCTGCAGCACCACCACCAGGAGCAGCATCTGCAGCATCTGCAGCAGCAGCAGCAGTAGGCGGCAGAGGCGCAACCAGGGAGGGCTCCCTAGGCCCCTGATTATGCAGAGACACCCTACAAGCTGTGCTGCTGCGGCCGCCTCTGTATGCTTGACGAGATTTCTTTGCTTTATAGAGATGCCAGCAGCCAAAGAACAGCAGCACAGCAGCAGAAGCAGCAGCAACAACGTTGCCGCCCTGCAGCAGAGATCTAACTGAAGCGGGAAGAAAGGAGAAAGCAGCAGCAGACTGAAGACAGTATCCTGCTGCAGCTGACACCGCTGACGCCAAGCATAAAGCTGCGCATGCAGCCCCAAACACCAGCACTCTTTCATATCTTACTGCCAGCAGCGCAGCTAAGAAGAAGGTCCTATCGCCTAACTCTGTAGCAGCAACAAGAGCAGCACTTGACGCAACAGAATTTATAAACATCCATACACCAGAAGAAGCATGCACCTCCTCATCCTGCTGCTGCTGTTGCTGCTGCTGCTGCTTCTTTTCATGCTGCTCATGCTGCTTCTCCTCATGCTGCTTCTGCCTATCCTGGTGCTGCTGCTGTTTCTCCTCATGTTTCTGTTGCTTCTCCTGGTGCTGCTGCTGCTTCTCCTCTTGCTGCTGTTGCTTCTCCTGGTGAGGACTCTCCTGCTGCTGCTGCTCGTGCTGCTGCTGCTGCTGCAATTTCTGCTGCGAAGCTGCAGCTCCCCCGTGTTGCTTCGCCTTATGGCCCTGTGGGGCCCTCCTGTGGGTCTTTCGGGGCCCTCTTCTGCTGCGTTGTTTTGCTGCTGCGGCATCAGCAGCAGCAGCAGGAGCAGCAGCAGCAGCAGCAGCAGCAGCAGCATGTGGCTGGCTGGCTGTTACTTCTGCTATCTCCTCAGGGGCCCCCCAATTAAAGAGTCTCTGAAGTGTAGAAGGAGAGAGTATATATTCATTTGAATTTTCTTTGTTATTGTCTACGGCTTGAAGCTTCCTAGGAAGCATCTCAATTTCTGCATGCGGAAGCTGCGTATACACCCCACAGCCTAGAAGGGCTCCCAGGGGCCCCTTGCATAGAGGAGCAGCAGCACCGAGGCCCTGCAGCAGCCAAGCACCTCCTGTTAGCATTACTGCTGAAGGCTGTACAGCAGCATCACAGCGATGAAAGTACTCTGGGGCAACGTGAATATGTGCTGAGACAGACGGGAACAGAAGCAGCAGCAGCAGCAGCTGCAGCAAATAATTCTGCTGCAGTTGCTGCATTGCACGAGAATATACGCGAGATACGCGAGGGAGCCGCAAGCAATTGACAACCCCCATTGTTTCTGCTGCTGCTGCTGCTGCTGTTGCTGCTGCTGCTCTTGCTGCTGTTGTTGCTGCTGCTGCTGCTGTTGCTGTTGCTGTTGCTGCTGCTGCTCTTTTCGCGCTGCGGTATCTCCTAACAGTGGAGATAGGATCGGCTCTTGCTGCTGCTGTTGCTGCTGCTGGTGGTGGTGTTACTGCTGTTGTGGCTGTTGCTGCTGTTGCGGCTGTTGCTGCTGTTGTTGCTGCTGCTGGTGGTCTCTCGCCAGCCTCTACACGAAGAGAAGTAGCAGCTGCTGTGAACGTTGATGAATTATTTTCTAGCGGCGTTCAGGCGTTGAGGTGTCTGTACACCTGAGACGTCTGCCTACAGAAGCTGCATATACACCTCAGGCATCCATTTCAGGTGTACGTACACCTGAAATCAAAGAAAAGAATTCAAAAGAATAAATAAAAAGCGATGAAAAGGAGAACAAATAGGGAAACAGGCAGCTAGCTGCACAATGAAACCCTAAACCCTAAACCCTAAACCCTAAACCCTCGATATCTTTGCTGCTAGGCTGCAGCACATTACAGGGGCCCCCTTCCTCTCGTATTGCCGGTGGTTTGTTTGTTGCTGCAGCAGCAGAATAGAGCTGTTATTAATAAATACTAAATTAATTATTTACATTTTATTTATATTTTACTTACATTTTATAATACATTCTTTGTACAACGTCTGCTCGCTATACTTGAGGGGCCCTTCAACAAGTCTATACAATCATCAACCCCGTTAGAGATGTAATAAAAACACAGGAAAAAGAAACAAGACAACAACTATCTGCAGCAGCTACGCGTCTGCTGCTGCTGCTACAGCAGCAGCAGCAGCAGCAGCAACAGCAGCAACAGCAGCAGCAGTTCGTACCCCCTTAGTCGTAATACGTGGCACCCGGTGGCCAGCAGAAGCAGCAGCAGCAGCAACAACAACAGCAACAGCAGCAACAACAGCACTAACAGGAATCGTTCCTGCATCAGAAGCAGCAGCAGTGCCAGCAGGAGCAGTAGCAGCAACAGCAACAACAGCAGCAGCAGCAGCAGAGTAGGGAACAGCAGCAGCAGCAGCAGCAGCAGCAGCAGCAACGGAAACAATTCAATTCACGATGTGGGGCTCCTTCTTTTTGTCTCAAATATTATGCGGCCTGACGTACAGACAGCGCGTGCCCTACGGAGTGAAGCAGGTTTGTGTAATTTATTATAAGTTTTTATTAAAATTATATATATATATATATATATATATATATATATCTTAGCAGCTGTAAATACAATATAGCTGCTAAGAGACATATAGGCGTCCTCAAGGGCGCTCTCTTTGTTTATTAAAATATTTTATTTAGGCGGTGTCAGTGATGGCTTCCGACTGTATGCTTGTCTCTGTTATACTTTGCCTTCCTGAAGTAGGGTTTAGGGTTTAGGGTTTAGTGTTTAGGGTTTAGGGTTTTGTTGAATGTTTCGGTGTTCAGACGGAGATGTACATAAAGGCTAAAAGACAGGCGCGAGCGGCAGCTCGGAATGCGCGAAAAATGAAAGTAAAACGAGGGTTTAGGGTTTAGGGTTTATGGTTTAGGGTTTAGGGTTTCGTATATGGTCTAAGAAGGCGAGTGATAGAGGGCATGCAGATAACAGCTCAGGGCGTGCGGCTTGCATCTGCGTTCCTACTCTCTTGGGTTTAGGGTATAGGGTTTAGGGTTTAGGGTTTAGGGTTTAGGGTTTAGGGTTTGTGGTGGGTTTATGCAGGAGTCGAAGGGGGTGCTAATGGAGGGCCGCAAGTGTCTGTTGATGTCGCTGCAGCAGAACAGCGGGATATCATGGTATAGGTCTGAGCAAGTATTAAAACATTTAGAATTGCACGCGAGAGCAAACCCTTCATTAACAAACAAATTAAGAAAAAAGATAACTGCTGCTGTCGACGTAGTCAAACAAGGAAGATAATATCTTTGTACAATTTTGTTTTCTCGCAACAACAACGAAATAATATACACTCATTATCCAGAAACTCTACTCGAAGCTCAGGATCTAGGGTTTAGGGTTTAGGGTTTAGGGTTTACGGTTTAGGGTTTAGGGGGTTGTCGTGCGGGCACAGCTATTAGTAAATCCCGATGCACGCACGAAGGGTTTAGGGTTTAGGGTTTAGGGTTTAGGGTATTCTACGGTTTAGGTGGGCTCTGTAAGAACAGGGCTTAGCTTCACCCTAAACCCTAAACCCTAAACCCTAAACCCTCGTTTGTGTATTTCAATTTCCAAGGCTAACGACTGGCTGCTGCGTCAGCATCTGTTGGTCTTTAAGCCTAACAGGAAGAACTCTACCTGATTATTTTGCTGCTGCAGCGTATGGCGCATGAAGGCGTTCGCTGCTCAGCAGCAAACAACACCAGAGGAGAGGTTTTGATTAAAAATTTAAATTTTGTTTAATATATAATATATATCAAATATGATTTATTTATTAAACATAGTAGATGTACAGTATATAAAATATATATAGTGTACATATATATATATATATATATATATATGTTTATATGCATATGTACATAATATATATATATATATATATGTACAGATATATGTACATATATTAATATATTAAGTATAGTGCATTCTAAATATTATGTCTGCAAATATATATCATTGAAAATGAGATAAATAAATATACAAATTATAAACCGCAAAGTTGCTGTCTCCTGCAACACGTCTTCTTTTACTGAATTTGT